ATATTTTTTTTAAAAAAACTAAAATATATTTTTGCCGAAAAAAATGAGCTTTGGTTGAAAAAACAGGTGGAGCCAAAAATGGCTCGACCTCAAAACAAGCATTTCGTGAAGAATATACCAACCGCCGGAATTCCGGCGGTTGCTTTTTATACAAAACATATACGATGAAAGTCTTGACAAACAAGCATTTTGTGAAGAATATACCAACCGCCGGAATTCCGGCGGTTGCTTTTTATACAAAACATGTACGATGAAAGTCTTGACAAAACAAGCATTTCGTGAAGAATATACCACCCGCCGGAATTCCGGCGGTTGCTTTTTATACAAAACATTTACGATGAAAGTCTTGACAAAACAAGCATTTTGTGAAGAATATACCACCCGCCGGAATTCCGGCAGGTGCTTTTTATACAAAACATTTACGATGAAAGTCTTGACAAAACATTTACGATGAAAGTCTTGACAAAACATATACGATGAAAGTCTTAACAAAACATGTACGATGAAAGTCTTGACAAAACATTTACGATGAAAGTCTTGACAAAACAAGCATTTTGTGAAGAATATACCACCCGCCGGAATTCCGGCAGGTGCTTTTTATACAAAACATTTACGATGAAAGTCTTGACAAAACATTGACGATGAAAGTCTTGACAAAACATATACGATGAAAGTCTTGACAAAACATATACGATGAAAGTCTTAACAAAACATTGACGATGAAAGTCTTGACAAAACATATACGATGAAAGTCTTGACAAAACATATACGATGAAAGTCTTAACAAAACATGTACGATGAAAGTCTTGACAAAACATTTACGATGAAAGTCTTGACAAAACAAGCATTTTGTGAAGAATATACCAACCGCCGGAATTCCGGCAGGTGCTTTTTTTATACAAAATTCAAGAGTTTTGTGTGTTTTCTACGATGGTACAATAAAATGGTTCATTTACTCACAATATTTTTGTACAAAAAGACCCCAAACTTTTAACCTCTCTTCTGCAGCTTCTAATGAAACTTTAGCGAGTTCATATTCTCTAAATTCTCTCTTTAAATCTTCTTGTTCCCATTGGTCTAGTTCGTATGGAGAGTCTCTATAACCAGAACATATCTCCATGGTCATGTTCTATATTGTTTTTCATGCATTTTTCTAACTTCTTCTTCGAACAAAGGTTTTGCATTCTCTGCTGTATCTTCAAGTTCTTCTTCATCTAATTTCTCATGAACTTTCTTGTCTATGGAGTCCATAATTTTTCCAACTGCTATGCAATATTTTGGAGAAGCCCACATTGCTATATAGTTTACGAGTCTTGGGTCTACATACGTTCCTCTAACCTGTTTGATTTCATCGGGAATTCCTGCATTAACATTGTATAAAAGCACCCGCCGGAATTCCGGCGGGTGGTATATTCTTCACAAAATGCCTTAAAATACTCTTCCCAGGACTTATTTTCCAACAACTTTCTAAAGTCTTTCCTAAACTGCTGACACATATTTGTTACATTTATATAACATCCTTGTCTCTACGTAAGACTTCAATACCGTTGTAAGTGCCTTTTGTGAATGTTTCGCCATTAGATTTGTTCGTGAACGTTTTTGCTTCGACTGTCATTTCAGTTCTTACAATAAAAATAAAAAATATTTTTTGGTGGTACGTCGGACATTCGTTTGTGGCTTAACCGTCGGACATTCGTTTGTGGCTTAACCGTCGGACATTGTTCTGAAAAAGTACAAGTCTTGTTCCACTTCTCGGGTCAGCCGTTCTACATAACCTCAGAAGGCGGCATCCAACCAGTTCAGTAAACATCTCATTTTAACTCACTTTTTTTCTATCTTAAGGAAATTCATGAAAATTCACCTGTTGAATTTTGTATAAAAAGCAACCGCCGGAATTCCGGCGGGTGGTATATTCTTCACAAAATGCTTGTTTTGAGGTTGAGCCACTTCGCCTAAAATATATTTTTCAATACTTTTTCAGCACTTTTCCGTAGTTGTATATGAAAGACAATTCGAGATAAAAGTCATAGTACAATGGTAAAATATGTTGCACACCGTTTGTTGTGAACCAAACTTGAAAGTCAGAGAAACTGTTACTAGGTGGTTCGTAGAATTTAGAAGCAAAGTCATAAAAGTCCTTACCGATACATAGAAAACTGTTGTTGCTTGAACTGAAACTTGCATGACACATGACATTTTGAGGGTCAAACACGTTTCTATAAACTATAGATCCAAGGTGATGTGATTTTTGCATCCCTGGGATGGACGATACACCCAAAGTGTCACCTTTTTGGGATAACATGAATTTTAAATATCATGAGAGTTCTGCAAACCATATGCACAATATCTATTCAGCCTGACTTCTTGTATATATGAGTTAGACTTCTTAAATATTGTGCTTGGGGCGATATAAGCATTTCCGAGATTACCATCGTGCTCTATAGTATGCTACTTCTCCCTGGTTCTAGCTCAGTTCCAAGGATATTGGCGTTCAAGGATTTGGCAAGGTGCTTCCGAAGTCTCTCATTCGATGAGAGATTTCGGAAGAATCTTGCCTTAAAGTACTCCAACTCTTGTTCTTTTGTTCCTAAATAGTGAGAAAAGTTATTTGACTACTTAAGGTAGAGATTATCCGAGGTCCCTCATTTGATGAGAGGCCTCGTATAATCTCTGCCTTAAAATTGTACACTTGTAGTCCATGAGAGTGTAAGTATACATTGATAGGACAGCTTTCTTCTGAAGTCTTAGATTTGATAAGAACCTCAGAAGAAAACTGTCCTATTTTATAGTAAAAGGAGTTTCAGGAGCTCCAAAGCTCCCTTTCGTAAGGATTAGAAGCTTTGGAGCTCCTGGTTCGTAGATGTGTTTCGCATCTTTCATCAGCAAAGGACATTTACCATCTGGGACTCTGTTGATGGAGACTCAGGAGCTCCAAAGCTCCCTTTAGTAAGGATTAGAAGCTTTGAAGCTCCTGGTTCGTAGACGTGTTTCGCATCTTTCATCAGAAGAGGCCCAAATGGTAAATAGCCTCTGCTGATGAGCTTCAGGAGCTCCAAGGCTCCCTCTCGTAACGATTAGGAGCTTTGTAGCTCCTGAAGGTAAGGTAGGATTGCTCTGATCTCTAATCAGTAGATGCCATGCCTCATTATGAACTCTACTGACAAGAGATCAAGAGCTCCAAGGACTCCCTTTTTAGTTAGTGGCGTTCTCACAATTTAGTAGGATTGCTGATCCTACTAATGAAGTGATCGCTTAGTATACGTTTTGAATAAATTGAATTTTTTTTAGAATTTAGTATTTTTTATAGACATCACATGTATATTATAAATACATAAATATATTCTTTAATTCAAAAAATTCAATTCGGTTTTGGGATGGGTATCCCAGCCCCAAGTATTCAATTTTATTCAATTTTTTAAGAATTTTGGGTTGGGATGCCCAGACCAAAACAAGTTTTATATTTTGATGTGTAGATACGTATGTGTGCATCATTGTTGTGTTATATATTATGTTTTTAATGAAAAAAAAATCTGATTCAAAAAAAATTATCACTAATTAGTTGATAATATAAAGAAAAAATAGATAAATTGTATGTTTTGAGAGTATTTATCCACATTCACTCATATGAATTTCATTAAATAGTGTCTTTTTACTCCCAAATTTATTTTGAATTATTGAAATCAAAGAAAAAAAATCAGAAAAATTTCTCGAAATTTTTATTTTCAAAAAAAAATTTGGATTTTATATTGAAAACTGACACTGGGAGGACGATAGGGCTGGGATTGGAGATACCCCGCTCACTTGGGAAAAATACGGATCTATACTATAAACTGTCAAATCTGCTGGTGGGAGTATAAATTTAAATGGACCATCTGGTGGTAATGGTTCGTTCTGGTTTAGTAACCGAAGAAATTGCGCCCAAGAACGTTTGTCTACTCCCCAATATAAAAACTCTGTATCTCTTGGAGGGTTAATTTCAATCTTTTGAAATGAAACTGTGGAGTTCATCTTGTCGTATTCTAGCTTCAGATAGTATGTTCCATTTAGTAAAGAGTGGTATTTTTCTTGAAATTCCCAGTAGTATTTGTTTATTTGAGTTTGAAAGTCATTTAGAGTTTTTTCAAGACTTTCGTCTGAACGAATTGTAAAGATTTTCATTTCGTCAAATTTTTCTATTAGACCATCAGAACCTTTATACTGGCCATGAAAATATACTGCGAACATGAATGCATTAGTTCTATTTGAAAACAAAACTCTTCTAAATCCTATTGCCTTTGCATCTGAAGGACTTTGAAGCCAACGAATTGGATAGTCAAACCTGTAAGTTCGGGATAAAATTTCTTCATCTGATATAGTCCTGCCAGCGTTTGTAAAGATATAGTCTAACGGTTTTGTATCTGCTACTTTTGTTCTTTGTTTTTCAACCTGAAGCATTTAATATATGTAAAAATATACTGTTTTAAAAACGTTTTAAAATGGTATGCAATTTTTTATTTCATGCAATGTTTTATTTCTGTGCCGTCTTCAAGTATTCCCCAGTACTTCCTTTTCGATATTACATGAACTTCGGAAAATACCTTGTCTAGCTTAAAAAGGCCCATCTTTTCACCGACCATTCCCATTTCAATGAGTTTGTTATAGCCTTCTTCGTTCGTCATGAGTGCATCGATGTTCTCATAGTAAACCTTCACTTTGGATTTGACCTCGGAGAAGAATTTGTTGTAGTTGTCAAGGACTGCCTTTGCGAACTGAGGGTAAGACCAATGTTCGACAATAGGTTTTAATGTGGTTACTAAGCCATTTTGACCTTCGGTGAACTCGTATTTCAAAACAAAAGGAGAAAACCTTTCAACAAAGTTGTCGACCTTCTCATAGTGTTTACTCTTCATCTTTTGAGGTTTCTTAATGGAATATCCCCATGTCGAATTCATAAGCAATTTGAGTGTCATTGCAAGTTTGGGGTTTGAAGCTTTCCTAATATCATACATTTGTTGTATGACTTTTCCAACTGTATAGTTCCTTCCCGGGAACTCACCATCTTCGTTTGGAATTCCAGTCGGGATATATTGGACAAACCTCATGTACGCAGCGTTAAGGTCGACATAGTATATCTTTTCATATGAGTCGAACTTGTCGCAACCAATGGGTCCAGTTCGTGGAAATTCAAGCGAGTCTCTTATCTTCTGAGAAACTTCTCCTGTTATCTCATAAACATCGTCGAAGCAACCTGTTTCATATAAAACCTTCTGACCTAACTCTGATGCTCTCCAATACAATTTGACGTCGACTGGATGTCTCAATGGAAGTTTGTTTATAGCATCTTGAAGTTCTTGCAACCTCATTGGAAGTTCTTCTGGTTCAGGTTGGTATCCGAACAATCCAACTCCTTTTGGAGCTGTGTACTTCTTTTGTGCTATAACTTTGTCTGGAACAACTTTTGGTCTTGCTAACAATGAAAAGTTTGTTTCGTCTTTTGGTACAAAAGTTTCTGTCAGCTTGTCATCTGGAATTGGTTCCAACAAACCTTTCTCGAAAAGAATGTTAACAGCTCTGACAATGTTGCACTTACCTTTTCCGAACAATGGGTTTGTAAGACTTTCGTTCAACATGAAGTGGTTGTGGACAAGTACAATCTTCAACCATGGCAATTTGAAGTCAACAACATAGTCGTCATGTGAAGAACCTTTCTCAGTCGGAATGTTGACTCGGATATTGACATTTGCCAACGGTGCAACTTTTGACAATTGACCTCTAAGAATGTACCTTGTTTTCACACATGACTCAAGATACTTCATCTTCTCATCTGTAACAAGACCAGAGTTCCTGAGACATGTAAGAATACAAGGTTCATTGACAATTTTTTCAATTGAATTGTAAATTCCATACCTGGTTAAGTCAATGTCAGACTTATTTCTGAACGGGAAGTATCCAGCATGTTGTCTGACTGCTTGAGGGTTGGGTTGATACCATTCGAACTTCACGCTTGCAATTCCTTCAATCGCATTCAAAATATCTGAGTCGGAGTCAAACATTTGTTCTCTCTTTGTAGTCTTGAAAGCGTCAAGAAGTTGTGCGGCTGTTGTGACATTGCCATGTGCATAGTATATATGACCATCTAAATCTGTTACTGTTAGTCTGAGATTGTATCCTTTCTTATTTCCGTCTTGTATGGCAGCAAGTACACCCATGAAGCCTTCTTTGTTCTTTCCTTCGTCAAAGTTTACTGTAAAGGTTCGGCCAGAAGTAATTTTACTTCTAACTTCACGATACTTCTCATATGCATATCTTGTTCTTTCCATGGGAGCATGTGCGTCTTCACCTTTTCCTTTTTTCCTTCTCAAGGGATGCAATTGTTCGTCATGTTTCCAGTAGAATCTGGCAAAGCCGTCGTGTCCTTCAACTTGAGGTTCATTAACATAGAAAGGCATGTTCATAAGACGTTCTTCTTCTAACCTCTCTAGTCTGTTTGGATAATTTGCGCGTGCTGTTTCCAAGTCCATTTCATAGCGAAGACCAGCCAGTTTGTCATAGACTTTTATGGGTCTTCCCTTCCTATATTTAAACTTCTTTGAAACTCTCCAACCATATCTTTCTAACTCTGCTTTTATTCTAGCAGACCTTCTGTCCATTCTATACGGGGGCATTTTTATAAAAATAAAAAAATATACTGTTTTAAAATGGTATGCCATATAGCTTCTTGAATTTGTTAAGAAGTATTCGAACGTGTTTTCCATCTGTATCTCTAGTGTTTACATAAGCATAGCCTTCCTTAGTAAAACATACTTGTAATTTCCTATAGTTTACGCCGGTATAAAAGTAGAAAGAGTCTTGTTCTTCGCTATAGTAGTAAAACTCAAACGTATGCTTACCATAGTCTGTAATTTCAATTGTTTCATCTTCTAGTTCGTCGACAAATTCGAATACAATATCTCGAAATTTGCTTTTGTTCTTATTGTTTTCAGAACAAGTGACCCAACGCAAGTTTTCAAGTCTATTGTCGTTTCTTATACGGTTTATATGGTCTACAAAAGGTAAATTGTTAGGGTTCGTATAAAATGAGTTGCAATGACAACATGTTTAAAATAGTTTTTTCCACCATCCTCATCATAGCATATCCGTCATTTTGCTCCCATTCGCTTAAAACTCTTTTTGTCTTTTTGTTTCTGACTTCAAATGACTCACAACAGTGAATTTCATATTTCTCATCTAACAAACAAGTTTCCCAACGGTCTTCTCCAACAAACTCAGCGTACATTTCAAATAAAATAAAAAAATGTTTTTTTAAAAATATTTTGTTTTAAATGGTATGCCATTTCATATTTCTCATCTAACAAACAAGTTTCCCAACGGTCTTCTCCAACAAACTCAGCGTACATTTCAAATAAAATAAAAAAATATTTTTTTCTTTACTTTACATAACCACTTGCTGCCATAAGTCTTTGACGCCAACCCATACCAGCTAATGAAGGTTGACTTGGTTTAGTTTCAATACTAAACTTTGGTTTTGGTTTATCTTCAGTTTTTGGTTTTTCTTCTTCTATCGGTTTTTCGTCACTTTTCGGTTCCTCTGACTTTACCTCACTTGCTGGAATAGTTGTGTCGTCAACATCTTCATAAATGTCATATGCCATTTGTTTTTGTTTTCCTTTCAACTTTTTGTGTTTGTTGTAAAGTTTAGAATATTTCGACTCTAAGTCAATGAGATGTTCTATAATGAACTGTTGGTCAGTGAAGTAAACTTTTCCATCTGTTGTCTCTTTAGTTCCTTCAGACTTCAATATTTTATTTGTGAGAGTCTGTTTCTTTTTTGAGATACTTGCCGTTCCATTTTTATGAAAAGTGACTTTGTAGTTAGAGTTTGTATTTCCAGACCTCACACTTTCTATTATTGAATTTTTCTCTTCATCTGTAAGTTCTTTGACAGGTTTTGACAATGGTTCTGAACTTTTTGTTTGTGGTGTCAAATCTACCGTTTCAACTTCTTCGGTCATTTCATCTCAGTAAAAAATTTTAGTTTGGTTTGTTTTCAACTGGTTGTTGAGGTTTTTTAAGTCGGTCTAAAACTTCCTGAGGTATAGGAAGAACTTGACAAACACGTGGTTGTGTAACTGCTGGAAGCCGACAAAGCCATCTTGAACCCATTTGTCTCAATGCTGTATTGTTCATTTCATCTCAGTAAAAAATTTTACATTCCCCAAGTTTGAGGTGGTTGAGGTTGGTTGTTGTTTACCCACTGTTGTGCATGGTTATATCCTCTGTTAAAGAATCTTTCACCTTGGTCCATGTAGTGTCCTGCTTGGTTATAGTAGTCATTTGCTTTGTTATAGTAGTTTCCTGCTTGTCTTCCTACATTGTCCATCCATCCTTGAACTTTTCCTCTTGTTTCAGGATTTGGAATAAGATTTGCTGCATCTCGTGCTACCTCCCAACCTTTCTGTACAGTTTGTATAATAGGTTGTGCTTTCTCTTTCAGTATACCTAATGTACTCAAAATCTTCCTTCCAATTCCAAATGCACCTCTGGCTATTGTTCCCACTGCGGGTAAAAATCTAGATGCGACTCCTGCTAATGCGCCAAATAAACCCATTTCTTATGGGTTAAAAATGACGAATTCAAACAAGGACCCATATGTTTCTAAGGCAACAAAGAAAGCACTCATGGTAAAAATCTTTAGTTCAACACCAAATGCTTGGTTTATGGATATCTTGGAAAACATTCCGAGATATAGAGAAGATGGACCACCATATTGGCTAATATTTGTTGGTCAAAACACAAGATACTGTGAAGCCATACCATTATGGTCCAAAAATATTTTAGATGTGAAAACTGCTTTGACAATATTCGTTGACAAATACCATCCAACAAAACTGACATCTGACTATGAAAGTTCTTTCAAATCAGACGATATTAAAAACTATCTACGTTCAAAAAATGTAAACCAATATTTCATTGTCGACCAAAACCATTCTGCTCTTGGTGTCATTGACAGTTGTATAAAAATGTTAAGAGACTTAAACCAACCACAAGGTGGTGAAGCAAATGAAATGTCATATGACGACAAGTATAGACACTTCTCCATGGCAAAGATGAGACAAGTTTTAAATATTTACAATAACCGTAAACAAAAAGGTTTGGGAAACCACTCCCCCGAAGAAATGAAAAACAACCCTGACTTAGAGAAAGACTATATATTTAATAGTTTAGTCAAAAGAGACAAACAAGAAAGAATGCCGGGCTTCAAACTTCAGAAAGGTGACAAAGTAAAATAGAAATACCTAAACGCGACCCATATGAAAATACTATTGACTATGACAACAACAAGTACCCGACAGGTACTCACATTCGTGTTCGTAAAAATAGAAGAAAGTATACAAGAGAATATTATGAAGTTTTAGGCAAACATGGCAAAATGTACAGACTGCAAGCAGAAGATAAAACTACTATTGTCAGACCTCGTTTCAAACTTGTCAAAGTTCAAGGTGGTATACTTTCAAAGACAGTTCCTAACAAATATAAGACAACTCCTGACGAATATGCTAAAGAAGTTGAAAATGACGACTAAGCAATTCTATACCATGCGTAAACTGTCATGTAAGGTGGCATGTAGTCTTTACTTTGTCCCGTTGTTTGCGTATATCCTGAAACGAAATGTGTATGGTTTCCTCCTTCCTCAGTGTTACTCAGGAAACAATTTATAGCAAACTGAACGTCGTTTTTAACATCATATCCTTTACCTTTTGTCATTCCTGTCCAATCCCAATATCTATGCTTATGCCCACCTTCTCGAGATGTAGTTAAACTTACGTAGTGACTGTGCGCAGGTAAGTTTTCACCTGAAATCGTTTTACTTCCACCTGTTTCCTTTGAAGAGTTTGCACAATACAAAAACCTGTCGACTATTTGAGTCCAAGTTCCGAGACCAAGTACTACTTCTGGTCTGGTAGAGTTCATTGACGTGTAAATAGAACCTATAGGATATAGTGTTTGAAGTATTTCTGTCTTTAACGTTTGAAGCTCTGTTTTGTCAGCTTTCTTATCTAACATTGCTGGTAGTTCGTATGCTTCAAAGTTTCTGGTATGATCTTCGATATTCCTGCAACTCTTATCTAAAATGTTAAGAGTATCTTTTACGCTTGTACTTGGATTTTCTAATGGTGCACTTGAACCAAGGTCAAAGTTCAATATTATATCATCTGCTGTAAAAGTTGTAAAACTTGTATGTGTATGGTTCTTATCCGCTTTAAGGTCTAAACACCCTGAAACCCATCCTGTATCAGCTTTCGTTTTTAAAATCTTCGATGTCCGTTCATTATACCATTCAACCCTTTCTTTAATTTCATTGTCTTTTTCATCCACATATTCCTTATCTGCCTTCTTCACTAACGCACTAGCCATACATGCTAACTCATCGTTAACATATGTTTTATCTGCTTTCTTTTCAACATCCTCTTTTGTTGCATATGTTGCATCTGCTCTGTCATGTTCTTCTTGAACTTTTTCAATGACATACTCTTTGTCAGCTTTGTTGTCAATATCTGCCTTCAAAAGAAGTTCATCTATAGGTTTCTCGTTTAAAGTTCCTTTTGTTGGATTTATACAAACAGTATGGTTCTTACTGTCTTGAAACAGAAACTCGTCTGTCATTGGGTTTATCGTCAGTTTTAAGTTTCCTTCTTTCAATGACTCAGATATCTTAGAATAGTTTGAAAAGTTTGTTGTGTTCTTATTTAGAGCTTGCAAAATGAGTTGTCGGTTGTGTTGTATCTCTCTCATAGACGCTGTTTCATTTGACATTTTTATTCTAGATAAAATATGCTTTCAATAGAAAAAGAAAATTCAAGAGTTGCTACAACTAAACCATTAGATGAACTTTTTACGAATGTCGGTCAAAAGTTTGAGACAGAGACCGTAAAACATGAAGGCTATCGGTTTGACTACCCGTTAAGATGGTTAAGAGACCCATCCGTCACAAAAGCTATTGGCTTTCGTAGAATGAAGTTCATTTCAGAAGCCATACATGGTTTCCCATTTACGGTCGGTTTTGAAATTCGATACTATAACAAAGAAAAACGTACGTATGAGAAATTTGAACAGGGAAAACTTTTACAAGTTAGTTTGCTTGTAAACTTAGAAACAACTCTTCAAGCTTTTCAAGAAAAAATAAACGATATCTATCTCGAATATGCAAAACAGTACAACATTGACGAAGGAGAGTACCATCTCGATATTTTATATGACAGGAAAAATGCAACTGTTAAAATCAATAGAATAGAAGACCTTGGAGAAAACGTTTATATTTCTACAAAATATAACAACTTGGCATGGTATAGGTTTTTGAGGATGTTAAATCAGCCTGCAGAATATCCAGTACCCCGAACTTTTATGAAGTCGAAAACCCTAATGGAACATATGAAAATGTTTTCGACTCAGATGCTATTATCGTTCATGCTTCATTTTCTGGTGCACAAAACTCTTTTTTATGCTTGGCAAATGACTTTTACGAAAAACCTACAAAGCTATATGAACCACCGAGTGGAAGTATTTCAGACTTTCAAGTATGGTTTACTACAGATGGAAGAAAGAGAATAGTTCCATTATACCATGCGTTTTACTTAGAACTTAGTTTCATATACAACTACTATCGAACGGTAAAAATATAATTTTTAATACGGTTGAGGTTGGATTTGGTTGCCAACTTGACTGTGGTGCAGGTTCAGGCTGTTGTATAACAGGAGCTTGTTCTTCTGGTTCAGGGTCTTTAGGTATAATACCAACGAACTGACCTACTCTTTTGCCAATATTTTTGACTCCGTTCCAAATTCCTCTTCCGACAGATTTATTCCATTCCATATACCTCTTCCAACATTTCGAAAAGAAGTTTCCTATTCTTCCAAAGAAACCCATTTTACTATATGTAAAAATCTAATGTCCGCCTAGTCTCTTACGTTTCCTTCTGAGTTCCATTGCATTCTTTAACTGGAGCTCATACATTCTATTTCTCCTCTGGTAGAAAACATACTCTGGGTCAACTCCTGTGTTCGCGTCATCTGCATAGAGTTGTTTATATCCCACTTCAGGGTTTGTATAAAACTCTTTCCATCTCATATTTGCATACCATGGTGGCAAACCTAACGCAGCGTCATTTGACATGGCAGTTTGCATTTGTACATCTGTTGGCACTTGACCATAGTTTGCCATTGCAGTTTGTATTCTAACTTCATTTGGAATATTCTCTGGGTTTGGTTGTCCAGGTTGCTGTGCATTCGCTAAGTTCTGTGCGTCCATTTAATATTAGATAAAAATATCTCTTACGAGTACATGTGCTGAACATTTGCTGGTATTGGTTCATCTTCATATTCTCTATATCTTTCTGCCACGTCAAATAAGTAAATGACACAATGGAAAAAACCTAAAACAAGTAGTCCTATTTCAAACCACATTTACTTACCAATAAAATTTCTTTGTTATGACACTTTTTCCGGTTTATAGGACCTCTCTCATATTCTATCTTATCGTATCTAAACTCATAGTCATGTATGTCGTCTAACCATCTCATAACGGTTTCCAAACCACTTTTATCGGATGTAAAGTAAAAGCATGGATGGTTATGTAAAACGTCTAAAGTTTCTAAAGAGTCTCTCAAAGTCCAGTCTACTTGGTATTGAAAATCGTATGTGTTATAGAACGGTGGGTCTACTATAAAGAAAACATTTTCCTTGTTTTTATATTTTTCATACAACTCTGTCCAATGACATCTCACAAACTCTATACCCTCAGTATATTTTTCTATGTTCTCTTTGAAAACCTTTGTATAGTTAAGATATAAAACGTTTGACATAAGTGTTTCAATGTCATGAACTCTTATAGAACCACTATATAAAAGTCTAGCAGATATACTATCCCAGTCTATATATTCTGCTTTTTTCAAAACCTCTCTGACAATATTTTTCTTATCTAATGGTATACGTTCCATCTTACCTATAGGTATCTTTTCTTTCAACTCACTCAATATTTTGTTTGTGTCTGGTATATGTTTGAGACGGTTCATATAGTTGTCGAAGTCATTGCATATAATCTTTGAGTCAGGAAATACAGTATGGCACAAATGAGATATATAGAAACTTCCACCGAACAAATCTACAAATGTTAGACCATTCGGTAGTTTCTTAAGTTCTCTCAATAGAATATCTTTACATCTACTCTTATTTCCAAAGAAGGGTAACGGTGGTTTTGTAAAATTCATTTTATATACAATAATAAAAATGTTTTTACCTGAAAAGTGACAGAAAAGGCTTCTCAAAGTATACTTCTTTGAACGCCCGTAACTTTTCTGTAGCGACGATAGACCCTTACTTGTCCGGACATAGTTCTACTATTTTGAGTCCTCTACCGAAAAGTCAACAGCAACGACTTTCAAAAATTTTTAGGGCTAGAAGGCACGAAGTGCCTGGGAAGCCCCCTATACCCAAAAAAAAACCTCATTTTATACTTCATTGTATACTAAACATCTTCAGGGGCTAGAGGGCACGAAGTGCCTGGAGGCCCCACTACTTTTTTTTTTTAAAAAATATAATTTTGAGATAATTATGTAAATAATATTTTAAATATTTGAATTTGAGGTATAATTTTATAGTAAAATATATTATAAAGAGTATTTATATAAATATTGTAAGATAATATAAGTAATAAAAATTGAGACCCCCTCCCTGTTTTTGATGTTTTGTCACTTTTTCGGTAATTCTTATTGTTTCATTTAGAAAACTCGTGTGAAAAATAGCACAAATTTCAAATTTCAAATTTCAAAAATATCTCAAGATTTGCTAGTACCATACTATGAAAATCGGCCTTGAATGACTAATTAATATTAATGAGCTATTTATGTATATCATATTTGGTATATTTCCACAATGATTTCAAAAAAAATTCGATATGATGCTTTGAGAATATATAACTGATTCATATCAATTAGATTGTCCATTTTATCGAATGGAATTTTTGGTATTTTGTTGTGCATGAAAATTCAGTTCACTTCACATCTGACAAAAAGCGACAAGTTTACATGACAAAAATAGTTTACATAGCAAAAATATATAGGGTATTTTTTTAAAAAAGTAGTTATCTTTATATATAAAAATAAAACTTTTGATATATTTGAGTAAATGATTTATTAATTTATTTATTTTTTTAAATCAAATCATATAAATATATATATATAATAGTGAAATAGAACAAGAGATAATTATTGATGATTAAATTGTAGACGAGGATAAAAGTTTAGATAAATTAATAAAATTAGTGTGGAATCAGACAAATTTCGGGTTGTTTGGGAAGGAATTGTTGGCTATGATGTACTGATTCATGATCAGTACATCATAGCCAACAATTCCTTATACAAAGTTCAAAAACTTGGGTGCAATCAGTTCTGATTGCACCCAAGTTTTTGAACTTTCCATTAACAATTGTTCAATCACATTTATACAACCCAAATCTATACCAATCATACTCTTATTCATACATCATATTTTAAAAACTTTTTTGCAATATGATGTTATTGCAACAATTTTTTTTTCTTTTCTACTTCCAATTAGCACCTTAAAAACATTAGACACAATCACTGGCTCATATGCTCCTATTCTGAATCTAACACTATGCAAATTTATACAATTTCTCCACAAATCTTACATTCATTTTAATTTCAACGACCATTATTACCACAAAGAATCTTACCTTCCCCTACAAAATCTAACTATCTATCAATTTAAAAAATGTTACAAAATATTAAATGAATTTTTTCTATACGTAATTTAAAGTTCTTAAACTCTCAGCATCAGAATATCCTTACATAGCTTAGCTATATATCGTATTACTTTATGAATAAAAAAATTATTTAAATTATAATAAAACGTTTATTCGTATTTTTACTTTATTTTTAGTTACGAGGCTGTATTTCGAACTCAGGATTTGGGTTTAAGTCCTTTGTCCATTTAGGACCCTGGTCCCAAATTGATTTTGGAGTAGGTTTTCCACCGAAAAGATCTTTAAGAGCTGTATGAACCCATACTGTGTTGTATTCTTCTATTGCGTGAGGTAAAAATAGTTAGTATCCCTAACTTGGGTACGGCGGCACTGCGTTCCACCTTACCCAAGTTAACGGTTTGACACTTTACAAAACCGGTAACGTATATTTTACAATACAACCATAACACCAACTTAACCTTAAATATTTACAAAACCATCTGACACATAAACGATTTCACTAACGATTTCACTAACGATTTCACTAACTACTTCACTAACGACTTCACTAACGAATTCACTATCGTCCTCACTAAATAAAAAATAACCTTATTTTTATTTTTTTTAATTTTTTATTTCATTACAAAGACATGTCCGACTACATTTACTATGACTCTTTCCCAGAACGTTTCCGTGAACTATTCAAAACTCAAGTAAAACTGAGAAACATGCATTTTAACAAAGACAGACCCATTGACGATGAAAGAAACCCTGAATATATTACAATCCCATATGACGCAAAGTTCATTGCATACATTCCTTATGGTCGCAGAGGAACGAAAACTATTTCAACAAAGAACAAAAATTATTTCTGGAGCGATGAAGAAAATTGCCTTATCTACATAAATGCATACTTAAATAAAGCTACATATTGTACAAAAGAAGGTTGGACTGGATTTGAGCTCTACATATACGACGACGATGGAAACAGACGTTGTGTATACCCATACGATAATATGTACCATTGTTTTCATCAAGCATTAAACGAATACATAGTCAGTAAGGGTCTCATTCCTGTTGAGTAGATATGCTTTATTTTTGTTCCCACATTTATTTAAAAATAAATGATATCACCACCCTCACACGTATGAAAACATAGCACAAAAATAATGTTTAGGTGAAGTGGTGAAATCTCACCTCTTTTTTCACCTGTTTTTTCACCCTGTTGAATTCATTGCTTTATAACTCTCTTCCTTTCTCCAACTCTTCTAACTTCTTCTTAAGTTCAGCAATGTTGTCCTCATGAAGTTTAATCTTTCTCAAAATTCCTTCTTTATCTAATGGTTGCTTTATCTTTCTAAACTGAACTCTACCATCCTTCATAGTATGAATGTAAAAACCTTCTGGAATAGTTCCTGATTTAATGTATTCTACCAAAAACTTTTGTTTCATTGCTTCAGTGACTTTAGTCGTCATTTTACTCTAAGGTGAAGCTAGCACAGCGATAATGGATTTCATGACTTTTTAGTATTTCATGCAATCTTAACAGATAGCCTTACAAGTACTTCCAGTGTCCCTAGCTGTCCCTCCTTTTTATATAACTCCATGACATTTATAATCTCGCGAAACTT